CTTGTCTTACTCCCGTCTTCACTTCGAAGGATCCCGTGAGTTTCCCGTTGTGGATTATTTGGCATGCAGCATTGTCGTACAACTATTGGATGAGATGTATAATTGTTGGCATCACCCCGTAGTTGTGAAGTAGTCGCCAAATCACCTCTCAATCGACACTGCCTGCTGAAGGCCTTTTCAAAGTCCATGAAGTTGAATGAGGTAGAGAGGTAACTGTCATCCCACTGTATCCATCTCTTAAGTTGATAGGCGTTAACACGTTTCTGTTTATCTTCCTTTTTTGATGGTATCATTGGAATCACATCTCTCAGTGACAGTGTATAGTCCTTCCCACTTTGGAAGAAGTTTCCGTGAATCTAGCCCTCATCCAACCGTGTATATTTTTTGCCTACACTTTAATTGATCTCCAACTTCAAAGGTTATGCAATTCGTCTTTTGTCGCTGTTAAGATTTCGCGGCGCCGATCTTTTTATGCTTTACATTCCTGATCGCTTATTTCCTTTCCCTTCACAACCTCGTGATGCTTCACTCTTTCTGAAGGAGCTAGGTCGTGTTGTGTGTTGGTAATAAAGGTTTCCTTCCATACATCAACTGAAACAGTGGCTTTTTAGCTGTTTCCTGGGTGGTATCACGATGTGCAAGTAGAATTAATGGGAGCTCTGCCTTCTTGTTACCTCCATTTGTGGCCAGCCACTCTTTCAGCGTTTGGTCATTTCTCTCTGGCAAACCATGTGTTTGTGGATGACATGGTGTTGTTCGGATCTCATATATCTCCGGCTGTTGCAAACGTAAAGTGAATTATTCACTCTGAAAACAAAGATCCTTATCTTTTAGTTTAGTCTTTGGTACACATTGGTCGGCAACGAAATGTCGAATTACTGCGTCAAGCACAGCTTTTGCGCTTTGATCCGGGATCGCAATGGCGTCTAACCATCGTGTAGCGTGTTCTGTCGTCACCATAAAGTACGGATTACCACTTGATGTCTGTGGAAAGGGTCTGATTACATCTACGGACTACAAGTCACCTACTGGCATTGCGGAAATCCTTGCACATATTTGGCAACATCTCTCATACCCTGCCAGTACATACCTTGTCTGAAGAGGTCGGTTGTTTTGGCTACCCATGTATGTGCTAAGTGATGCCATTCCTGTATCATCTCATGTCGTAGGGACTGAGATACTACCGCTATCCAGCTTGCGTCGTTCTCTTGCCAAGTCAAAGTTCCATAGGCATTCAATCCTAATCGGTCCTACTGCCTGAGTGACATGGTTACCTCTCCATTCACCTTAAGTCGATTTATTTCCGTTCTCTTAGTGATCACCTGTATCGGTGTATTCATGGTAGGGTCCACAATACAGTCGTATACTTTGTCACCGAAGCTTATTTGTTCATTCAAATAGCTAATCAAGTTTAAATATAATTTGAACAATTCATTTATTCAAATGAAATCAGTCTAGTTTCATTATCAATAGTCTGTGTCAAAAAGTAGTCTCTTTGAGAACACGATTATTTACTAGGATGAAGTTATATCCAATTGACTAGCCACCCAAAAATAGGACAGGACTCGAATACTAGGTTCAACTCTTAGTCATACCCTATCAAGTAACATTTTATGGGTAAAATGTTGTATACTGTTAAGATTGCCTTACTTTTTCTAATGGGAATTCTTTTGATATATTTTATGAGACTGACTAGTGAATAGAATACAGATTTGTTACATGATAGTGAAATAAATTCAGACAGTGACCTGGGGGTTCAAGTAGGAAGCCGTGAACACTAGGGTACAGCAAGTCAAAGGTGAGGCAGTAACTCATCGAAGAAGACATTGCAAAATGGTCGCGTTATGTCGTGAATTGATAGAAGTTAGAATTATTTGGCTGGCTATTGAATTGGGTCCCAGTGGCTCAATGGTCTACTAGCTTGCTCGCCTTGTAACCAGAAGGTCCTAGATTCGAACCCTGGCGGTGGTTGAGTACTGATGAAGATTCTCAAACTAGGACGAAACAACTGTCCAGTACTCCTCGGTTTTCCAGTGGTTCTCTAACTGATATCAGCTCATGATGAAATCCTCCATGCAATCAAAAAATTACTTTTCCACACCCACTTATATATATATATATCCGTATGATGTTTTGCAAGTTAATGGCTGTAGAAAGTTGATAGAATGTAAAAGACATCTTGTTAAGTCCATCAAATCATATATAGAAATATTAGCGAACTAGTATTTGGACATATTTATTCTCTAATGCATATGAATAACTTACCAAAATATCAGTTAATTTTAGTCAAGAAAAAAAAAGCTGTGAAGTAAAAACTGACCTCTTTTTATACTGCCAACATATTCGTTCTTATTGTTGTTGTCATCAAAAAACTAATCAAGGGACTTAGGTGTATAAGTTTTTCTATTACACGCTTATTACTTATTTATCAGACGACTATAGAAAGTTTAGAATATCGAATATAAAAGAAAGAAAAACAATCTACCTATTGTTGAAGTTTATACTTCGACTTTCTTATCGATTGATAAATAGATAGATAGATAGATAGATGACATATTAGTTTTGCTGTAAATACTCTTCAACTCTCATGGTTAATGTGGCGTACTGGCCTACTTGGCGACACCACCAATATCTCACAGAGTATTCAGATGACGAGTCCCACTTGGGACGAAATGCCCCTTCTGGATTCCACACTACTAGCCACTATCAGCTGAGTAAAACAATCCGTTTATGGTAAAGAGTATTCTGAATAAAAAAACTATATGTAGTCTGAGTAAAATAATCAGCTCAGCTAGATGACATTGTTCCAAAAATATCCATCACTGTTGAGGTAGAGTATATAATTAACGATTAGTTTGTCGTAGCGATGAATTTATCCCATATATATATACGTGAACAAATGAACACCACATATATGTTCAAGTGTTGGTTTTTAGGGATTTGATTGATTGGTTACTGGATTTCATCATGAGCTGACATTGGTTAGAGAACCATTGGAAAACCTGCAGGGAATACTGGACAGGTTTCGTCCTAGTTTGGGACTCTTCATCAGTACGCACCCACACCGGGGGGTTCGAATCCAGGACCTTCTGGTTACAAGGCGAGCTCACTAGCGACTTGCCCTATTCAGGTAGGTAGTGGTTCTAGTGAGAAGTTGTGACCAGTAGGGTGCATCAGGTCGGGTGTGAAGACCAATACTCGCCGAAGACATTGGCTAGGGGTCGCGCTATGTCATGAATTGGCAGAAGTTAGAATTCATGGACTAGCCATTGGATGGGGTCCCAGTGGCTTAATGGCCTACGAGCTAGCTCACGTTGTAACCAGAAGGTCCTGGGTTCGGAATACGCTGGATGAGTACTGATGAAGAGTCCCGAAATAGGACGAAACAGCTGTCCAGTACTACCTGCAGGTTTTCCAATTGTTTTCTAACTAATGTCAGCTCATGATGAAATCCTGTAACCACATATATGTTTCTATTGCTTATAAATCTATACGAAGACATAGACGCTTTGATGAGTTGAAATTAAGACTTTCACTTCTTTCGAGGTAGTCTTCAGTAATTTTGACTAAGTGAACTGAAATATTTTTTTTCAACTGATTTTATTCAGAAATTGTAATAACACACATTACAGAATGTTGAATTCAATTTCGACTTTCCTGTTGATTGATTGACTGAACCGAAATGCTTGGCTTCAGGTTGACATGTCGGTCCCTTGTACACATGCTTCGATGAGGTGTAATTATTTATTTTGAAGTAATTTGTTGGAGGATCTGAACTTCGCCGATGGAGATATCTGTCTGATTTCCCACAAACTAGAAGATTTGGAAGTAAAAAGCAACAAGTTGTCAGAAGAAGCATCCAGAGAACATAGGACTTCAGATGAACATCGAGAAAACAGAGGTGATGAAGATTTCTGGCCAACAGTAACAATAACGGACAACAATCAGTATAAATGGGAGAAATCTGAAAGGAGAAACCTCCTTTACCTACTGACGTGGGAAGCATCGTTTCAACCACTGGCGGAACTGACGAGGATATCAAAGCAAGGATCCGGAAATCAAGGAAAGCTTTCATTTCTCTCAAGTCTGTGTACAGATCAACAGCACTCAGCATGAAAAACAAGATCTGGATTTTCAACTCCAATGTGAAGTCAGTGCTTCTTGCTTTACAGATCAAAGACTTGGCACCGCGTCACGACGGCTACTTTGAACAAACTATAGACCTTCGTCAACAGCTGTCTTTTTTCAATACTACTGAAGATCAGATGGCCGACCAGAAAAGATCAGCAATAGTGAGGGATCTCTGGCAATGAGTGAACCAACTGTGCAAGAAATATGCACGAAGAAATGGAGGTGGATTGGTCATACTCTGAGAAAACAAGCTTTCGAGTGATTGATATCACTAGACAAGCCCTTGAGTGGAACCCGACAGAATGGAAAGTTGCGAGTTGCTCGTCCAAGGGTGACTTGGAGGAGGTCAAGTAAAGAGGCAGACTTGGAGCCAAGTGAAAACGTTGGCAGAGAACCGAACGCAATGGAGACGCACGGCTGAAGCCCTATTTTCCTCTAGGAATTAAAGGAAATAATAATATAATACTCTGTTGGATGGATGGTGACAAACAGTGGAATCCAAGATGTGCATTTTGTCGTATTCGGAACTCGTCAGCTGAATGTATCTGTAGGAACACTATCACTCATTGGGAAATACAGTGAGGTGCATCCAGACGACAAGTCCCAAATAGGACGTAATGCGCATCCTGGATTCCACTACTAGTCATCCATCCACCAATTTATTACACAATGTTTTGTCCATAAGTGACTACTATATACTAACTAGTTCAAACGCCCTTCTTTGTGGCTTTGTGATATGAACAGTTAGTTGAGAAACGTTTGGCATTTTATATTACTAATTGAATATTCCACTCAGTATATTTTCAGTAGTATACTTGTATGTATATTTATATATATATATATATTGTTGTTGTTCTTTTGTTTTTCAGTTTGGTCGTCTGTTTGGTGGCCATTACTTGGTGTTACACTTGAACTGTTAAGTTTAGCTGTAGTCTTTATCTTCTTTCGTTATTGTCGTCGACAAAGATTACGTTATGGAGTTGGTAATACACCAGAAACTGGTGGTTCTTTTGGTCGTTCACGTCTACTTGACACTGATGCTGATGCGGATCAAGTTGAAATGAAAGCCACGAACACTTCATCGTCATCTTCAACATCTGTTATCGGTTTACATACACATGGACCTATTCCATATATACGTTTATCAAATCAAAATAAACATTCGAATAATAGTAATAATAATAATATTAATGGTAATAATAATAACAATAGTTTTCTAACTAAAATCACTGGCATAAATCATTCTTCAACGGATGGCTATATGAATCCAAATTTAATACAAGATCCAGTAGATGCAGAAGTTGAAGCTATGGCCAATGTACAAAATCTACAGAATGAACGTGAATTAATCGATGATGATTATTTTTGGGATTCAGATACTGGTGGTAACAATGTGGATGATAATACTACAACAAAGGCAAGAAATAATCATCAAACAGTTGCGTAAAATAAACAAAAAACAACAGAAGAACTTCTTTATGTAATTTATATACAATTAAGTAAGTAAGTAAGTTGTCTGTTTTATTCAATTGTTTTTGGTATGTTTTGTACAAAGAAAGAACTAACTACGGTGCAGAACAACACAGACCCACTTTATTTCATGGATTCTGATCATCTGTGTACAACCTTTAGGGCTGAATTAAACAAGTTATGGTGTAACGACAGAAGACAGGGGCCAGGCAACAGATCGTTTATTGAGAAAATCAACAGATATTTATAGATTTTTATGTACATTATTATTAGCGTTATTGTAAGCAGAGAGGCAACGTCTTCTGATTGGTTGTTTTCTTGTTGAAGGTTATTCTGCACTGCCATATATCTATGAATCGTATTGGCACACATTAAGTCTCCTGTGATTGTTTGGTGAGTTCCTCATGGTTAAGCCTTGAAATTGTTTTTTACTCATGACCCCGATTCGGGACGTTAACATTGACGTAAACTGGTGTCTGCCAATTTTGGCTTGCAGATAGCTCTTACCACACTCATTCCCTCGTCAGAGACTTTCTACTGAAGTTGGTTCGGTCTTCTTGGTTCTGGTGCCTTTGTTCGTTTGTCTTGCTGTCTGGGATTCCGGTGGTCGCTGAGGTTCACTTGTTTGTTTGTTTACATCTGTGACCGTATCTACGTGACCCTGTCTCACAACGACCATATGTGGTATTTCCCACTTTGGAAGCTGTTTCTCTGACGCTGGTACGCATTCGTCAGTGTTTCGCTCCACACTTTCATATACTGCTTTCGCCGGACCTCTCAGTACCGTTCCAAGGAACAGCCTCATCACTGACAGATACTGAACGCAACTTAACTGCGCAAAAACCTTGAAGTCCTGCCAGAAGATCCATGTCTATTTCAAAAACTGGGGAGCATAGGCTTTCCATTTGTCGGCAGGCAGTGACACCAAATGCAACGACAGAAGACAAGGGTCAGGCAACAGATCGTTTATTGAGAAAATCAAAGATATTTGTAGATCTTTATGTACATTACTATTCGTTATTGTCAGCAGAGAAGCAAAGTCTTCTGATTGGTTGTTTTCTTGTTGAAAGTTATTCTGCACTGCTTGTGATCGTCTCTTAGAAAGTTAAGCCATATATCTGCGAATCGTACTTGCACACGTTAAGTCTACTGTGATTGGTTGTTGAGTTCCTCAAGGTTAAGCTTTGTTCATGTTTTTTCTCATGACCCCGATTTGAAGTGAATGTAACTGAATTTTTAGATTTTCCCGTCGATTGATTGAACCAAAGTGCTCGGTGGGAACATCATCATTTACTGAGAAATGCAGGTACATCCAGTGATGAGTCCCAAATAGGACGAAATGCGCATCCTGGATTCCACTGCTAGTCACCATCCACCAGTTAAATGCTAATTGACGTGAATTGTTGTTTACAATTTCGGCTTGCAGACAGCTGTCACCACAGTGTTACAGTTTTAAGATACATTTACTTTATCATGATGAATCAGTCCTCCAGCAAGGATTGTCGTAAGACAGTCGTTGTAAAGGAAAACATATGGATGATTAGTAACTTCAAGCTATATATATGTATATTACAGTAGCGAAGATTACTGTAAAAATGACCAAATTTGTAGTTAGAATGGTTATACGTCAATGGTTATTGCGTAATAAGACACATTAAAAGACACTGAATAGAGCTCATAAGATTGGAAAATTAAAATTTTGATATATGCGGAGTTAAATGACAAAAAAGAGATGTAATCCAGTGAGTAGAATTCGTCATTTGGATATATCTGGAATCTTCAGTCGGTGATGGTGTTCCCACTCTAACTTGAAGGCGCTCTGGTGTTTTATGCGATGCATATTAAGCTCGAGTTTCACTGGGAAGCAAGTGCATCTAGTTGATGAGTCCTGAAAAGGACGAAATGCCTATCTTGCATCCTACAGCTGGCCATCAATAAATGAGTAACTTTAAATTTATTAATTTTTTTTAAAAAATTTATGTAGACTTTGAAGCATTTCTACTTATTTTATGTTATATGCTAGTTATTTCTAAAACTTCATTCGATTATTTATGTTTTACAAACTTTTTCTAGGCATCAATCCATACTGATTTATACACCTAGATGTGTCCATGTGAATTAACCAGTATGAGATTTGAAAAAAAAATAAACCTGGTGCCGAGTTTTCTAATTCATTTTCCTCAAAAACCGCCAGTCTAACAACATTTATATACATACTCATTTCCTGTACTATATCTATATACACATACACATATAAATGTTGTTAAAAAGCATTTATATATATTTTTTTTCTGTGTACAATTATGATTTTGAAAGATTCTTTTTGTGTCAAGAAACCTACTTTAGCATTGAATCATGTCAAACAACATTGTTTAAATTTGTTAAGTGTGTGTGTCGTCAATGGATACGGCGCGAAATCCGCTTTTTTGAAAAAAAAACCACAAAACAACGTCAACAGATGTATGTATTGATTTTTGCAAACACTCGAACAAGTAATGAAAGTAAAATCAAATGAAATGAGGTTGTTTTTTAGAGGGAGAGAAAAGAAATATTAACCTCTTCAAAGAAGTGCAGTGTTGTCATATATTATTTATTTTCTTTGATTTATTTCATTCCATAAGTCTTATGTTATGTTATATACTCGTGTACGCGTGTTATTTCTTTTGGCCATTATTTATTTGGTAATATGAGTATAGAGGAGAAGAGATGAATAAAAATCGCTTCAGCTTTTCTGTGTGTGTATGTAAGTGTGTGTTTGATATTCATACAGCTCTGATATTTCACCTTGTCCATACGATATCCATTCAAGGTTGTCTTTCTGTCTCTTTCATTGACATTTATGCATTTAGTGTCATGATGATAATGATGATGGTGAAATGTGATTGATTGGTTAACGAATTTTTTTCTCCCACCTCGACTGAAATATGCATTTGTGATATTTAGCTAACTAACTAACTGATTTACTAACCAACCATGACGACTTTTGTGCGAAAAAAAAATATCCCGTTAAAATTTACCAAAAATAATCCCAATTAACTGAACTGATCATATCTTACTTATCATTAGTAGTAGTTGTATTGACTATTACTACGACGACGACGACAACTATTCAACCATCTTTTATATTTCTCATCTCTCCTTTGCGTTCCATTTACTTTTTAACCTCTCTTCTCAATGCAAGTGGCTGAGATGGCTGTGTACTTTTCTTTTTTATTATTATTACTGAATTTCCTTTCCAACTATGTTTTTGGCTCATTCACTCATTCAATCTGGTCTAATGATGATATGATAACACTACAATTTATCTGGTTATGCGTCTATGTGTATCTTGTTCTATTGTTTCCTTTATCCTTTAGTCAGCATTTCAGCATTTTACTTGTTGACGTCGTCGTTTTCATTTTTTCTCATTTTTTTTGTCTTTTTGTTTTGATTGTCTTTTGTTTGTATTGTTGTTTTGTTTGTTTTTTTCAAATGAAACTGTGTGTTATAAGAAATCAAGAAACAATTGATAAGAATTGATAATCATAAGAAGGGAATCAAATATACATATATATACGTTCTTTCCTTTTGCTTTGCATTTATTGCCCTGTTTATATACATCAAGAGAAAGAGAGAGGGGCGCAGAAAGAGATGTCTTGTTATTGATTTATTATTATTGTTACTATTATTATTATTATAATTATTACTATCACCACTGTTATTGTTAATACTGTTAAAAAAAGGCTGTAATAAATCCACTTTGTTCTCATTCCTTCTTTTTCTTCTTCATTCCAAATGGATTTTACAGCTTGAAGCTTCAAGTTTTACTTCTGTCTGTGTTGTATTTACACAGTGGGATTGCAAGCGTCACATCGTAACCTCTCTCTTTTTTGGGATTACTATTTGACTAGGCGAAGTTTAGAATTGAGTGAGTCAGCTGGGGGGATTGAACTGGGACCTCTTGTGCAATTGGTGAGTGTTCTATCCCTGAAGTGTTGAAACATCTAGGCGGACTGTGTTTTGTGAAAAAATCACACGTGAAGCGGCTGTGTAACAGGTGAAAATGCTAACATTGAATCACTGATGCCTGCCGTTTTTCGCATATCAGTCGTAGTGATTAATTTAGAGGGTTTACATTGAAAAGAAAAAAAAAGTGCGTCGGTGGCACAGTGGTTAGGACGCTCGCCGACCATGCACATGGTCCGGGGCTCGATCCCCGGCCGACGCATCCCTTTACCTCGCTAAGCCAAAATTAAAAAGCTGGTAAAGAGGAAAAGTTAGGCATGAGGTTAGCAACCCCATCCTGTAAAAATAAACACTGCTACAGAAACTTCAAGCCTCTGGCTTGAAGCCCTATGTTCCACTGGGAACGTGAAGGAATAAAAAAACATTAAAAAAACAAGAACAATATATATATGTGTGTGACTGGTTACGGGATTTTATCATGAACTGACATTGGTTAGAGAACCATTGGACAACTGTTTCGTCCACCTAGTTTGGAATTCTTCAGCAGTAGGCACCTACACTGTGGGGTTCGAATTCAGGACCTTCTGATTACAAGGTGAGCTCGTAGATAGCTGTCCAGTACTCCCTGGTGGTTTTCCAGTGGTTCTTTCTGATGATGAAATCTTGTAACCAATCAATCAAATCCCTACAAACCAATGCTTGAAAATAAATGTGTCACTTGATTCCTTATTATTTCTTTGTTTTTGTCTCACTTAATTACAATCTGAACAGCAAAATTAGTATAAATTACATAAAAATGTGGGTTTGAGCATACTTTTCACACGATAACAAAGAGTAATTGAGAGGAACTATTAGTTAGCATTAGATCTGGAATGATGTAAGTTGTTAAATTATTATGAATTAAAAGGATTGCGTGGATACTTTGACGAAATCCGACGATTAGCTTCAAGTGATTTGGTGGGTGGTAACCAGCAGTGGAAACACCAACAAATCCTCGAGAATGCAGGTACGTCCAGATGATGAGTCCTAAAT